ATTTTTTCATTTTGGCGGGCGGGGGGTTTTGGGGCTTCAAGGGGGGCCCCGGGGGGGGGGGGTTTTTTAACCACCCGGGGGTCCTTTTTCCCCCTTGGGATTTGGGGGGCCGGGACTTTTTTTTTTTAAAGGCCCCCCCGTAAAACCCCCGTTTTTGGGGGGGACGGGAACCGTCTCCCCCCCCGGAAAACCCGGGGGGCCCCGGATACCCCCCCCGGGGGGTTTTTTCGGTGCTTTCTTTGGGGGTTTTTTTTTCCCCCCAAACGGGACACACCTTTTTTTTTTCCTTTTATTTTTCCCCGGGCGGGGTGGGGGTAAATTTCGGCCCCGTTTTTCCGGCCCCCCCCAAAAAACCCCCCCAAGGGGAATCAGAAAACCCAAAATTTTTGGGGGGGGCCCTTTTGGCCGGGTTCCAAAAAAACCTTTTTTGGGCGGGTTCCCCCCCCCCCCCCCCCCCCCAATGCTCCATCATCTCGAGGACGCGTAGTCAATGAGATTTTACCAGCGAAGGCATGAAAAACATGAGATTGCAGCCCCCACCCACCGATCGGACAGATACGATAGAGGCAGGAAGAAACGATTGGCCATGGCTGATCGATCGGTCCAGTGGGAACAATACTCCGTCTTCTCGAGGAGGCGTGTTCGATGGTCTAACCGCTAAGGCATCCAAAACATAAGACTACGCCCCCCCCAATGCTCCATCCTCTCGAGGGCGCGTGGTCAATGAGATTGATCAGCGAAGGCATGCAAAACATGAGCACCCTCCCCCCCCCTCGCACCTCGCTCCACTCTATGGTGTGCAAGTCCGTCCGTGATATCCTCAGCCTCGTGGTGTACAAGTGGTGCATGTCCGTCGCGTCCCTGAGGGAGCTCCAGAAGGAGAGGAGGGACCAAGCCCAGTACACCAGGAAAAGGACCATGTACATCCTGTTGTATGATAGCAGCCACGAACACGCGCGACAGTACAGCGTAAAATCCAGGTGGTACGTAAAATCGGTGTTGCATCCGCGTCGCGGAGAGGTGAGAGACGGGGCAAAGCAACGCACCCGAAGAATAAATCTAGAGACGGAGGCGGTGTCCGAGATTTTGTTAAGGAGCCTCAATCAGGCAGACATGTTGCTGGCAGAGGCTACACCATAAGGTGACAACAGCATCAGCATCAGCATCAGCAGCAGCAGCAGCAGAGGCAGCGGCAAGGATCTCACCAAACGAGCACGTGGAACAGGTTCGGGCTGTGCAGGGCCTTGGTGGTGACGTACTGAGAGAGGGGGTGGCAGGTCTCCTCGTCACGGCAAGAGAGCAGCGCCTTCCAATCCACGAAAGACAACAGGAACGTAGAGAAAAGCACCTGCCAAAACAGCAACAAGAGCGACACACGCGGTGCGTATACGTCATGGTTTGGACTAGAGGAAAGGCTTAGAGGAAGGTTCAAACGCAGGGATCGCGCCAAACACACTGACTGGTAGACAAGCAAACTCGAGCGATACGAACAGAGAGAAAAGAAGCCTTCATTTGCAACATGGGGGCTGCTCCGTGGAGAAAAAAATGGACAAAAAACACGACGACTCTCCAACCACGTACACTAGACCAAAAACAAGGAGAAACCCGCCATGAAAAATTTCTTTCCAAAACAAGTACGGACGTGCTTGCATAACGCAACAAAATGACGCGGAAACGACAAAGCACCGCTCTCTACACAACCCCCCCCACCGTAAAGGCCAGGATGAGTAGATGTGCGATCCCCGAGGAAACGATGGAGAGCAGGCCGCCGCGGTGGTAATACTTGTACATGCTGGTGAAGAAAGCGTCAAGATTCTCAACCGCTCCCTTCGGGGGGGGGGGGGCAGCGGGGATGTGTAAAGGTCACGATGGATGACCAAGTGGCGAAAAAACGGAAAAACGGAGGGGGAGAAAGGAGCGAGAGCAGCGAGAGCGATATGTAGAGAGAAAAGTCAGAGTGGTTCGAGGAAGGCAAGGAGGGCACGAAAGAGTAAATGTTCCTCGCCACGAGGACTGGAATCCGGCACTGGTCCTGGCTCCCCCGCCTGAGAAGAAATCGATCGGCTGCTTCCCTGACTTCGAACCACATTACGCCTTAAGCAAAATACGAGGCGATGAGCCCCTATGCATGCATACCACAACACGCAGTACTCGCCTGCGCTGCATAACCAAACGACCCCGTCCCGCCCCAACCACCCCCCCTGCACAAACCAACTACATGTACTTCGATCCCCGCCCGGACAAATCGTGCACTAGTTTTGGGAAACACTCACCCAGTCGTCTGCCAGCAGCGGCTCATGCCCCCCTTCCACCCCCTCCTCTCCCATCAGAAGCCCGAACTCCGCTGGGCTCATGTCCTCCTGCCCCCCCCCCCCCCCCCCCAAAAAACCCTCCCCCGGGTTTGCAGAGGTGCCCCCGCCGCCGCCGAAACCTCAAA